TGTTATGTGGGTTGGGTGAAGGATGGGAGGGTGTACTCATGTAAACGCATGCCTTAGTCGTTAGACCATTGGGGGGCGGGTACTCAGAGCCGTGCATACCGTACATTGACCAAGCATCCCTACAAGGCCGGGACGGAGCGATATGCCGATTTTTCACCAGACCAGGCTATGATATTTGCACATCACCAACCGCGAAGCGCGTGAGGTATTGGGGTGGGGCGGGCTTGGGGGGCGTTCTAGTGTTCAGCATACCGTAATATCCTCTGAATTGTCCCCGGGGGGACATCTATCTTTTCTGCCCACAACGATATCCCCGGGGTTATCTCTACGGTAGGGGGGGCATCTTCAAGAAGAAAAAAAAAACATCCCGCGGACAAATTGCCCCGGGGACATCTACGAAAAACACACACAAACACACACACACACACACATCCTCACGGGGTCCCAGTTCATGGCAGATAGAAGTGTTTTGTGTTTTCAACCGCACTAAGACGGACGTCTTCTCATTGGTCAGCCGGTTAGCGAGGTCGATGCTAATAATAAAAAAAAAACACACACACACCACCCCGTCAGACACACAACTACCTCACCTCAGCAGCTCCCCGATGTCTGGTCTAAACACCATCTACGAACAACAAGAACTCTGGTTCGGTTGCACCATTGTCGAAGAACGATGTTTGTACGATGATGCGACATTATTGCTAAACGCCCGGACGGAGCCCGTGAACCTCGGACCTTATTCCGACGGCATTCAATTCCCAAGCTCTAGCTTGGGTCTCAGTCGATCAAAAGTCTTTTTTTTCCGTCTGTGGAGTTTTCAGTAGCATAGCGGACCCCTTGCCCGACCGGGTCGAAAAGGCCGATCTCAGCCCACACTGCGAACCTCCGAGAACTACCAGCAGTTCTGGGTAGCTGAGACGATTTCAAGACCTCTCACAGTCGTTTGAGCAGCTATCGCTTGCTGTGGGGCGATAACCAGTTTCTCCGTCGACAAGAAGATCTGCGTTACATCGTCACCTGGGAACGACCAGATTGGTTGACTTACTTGTCGTTGAGGGTCCTCTTTTTATAGTTTTTTTTGTATAAGAGTCGTCTTCATTTTTTTCGCCGCCCGCGCGAAGCCTTCTTTTTTACAGATCTTTTTATATAGAGTCGTCTTCTTTTTTTCGCCGCCCGCCCCAAGCCTTGCTTGCTTCTCTCGTGTCCCGCGCCAAGCCTTGCTTGCTGGCCACGCTTCTCTCGAGATGCTGACCGACCTCAGCACACAGCTGGACATTCTGTGTACATACAGCAGGAGCTGCTTTTGTTCTGTTGTTGTTGCAGCTTTCTGCATGGCTCTTTTGTGGTGCGAAAATTAGCATTTATTTATTGTTGTTGTTGATGTGCGGACGAGAGGAAGAGAGTGGTAGGCAAAAGCAGTACGTACCTGCAAATCTCCGGCAACTACCAGCAGTTCTGGGTAGCTGAGACGATTTCAAGACCTCTCACAGTCGTTTGAGCAGCTATCGCTCGCTGTGGGGCGATAACCAGTGATTTTGTGATTTTCTTCCTTAGTCTATAGTGAGTGACCGTTGTACACATGCGGTGGCTGCTGTTATGCTCGGAAGATGCTGCAAAGGTCATAAGGTTATCGTCTCTGTCGCTTGGGCTGCACGCCGTGCTCGCGTAGGAGATGCGCATTCCTCATTTTTTCTCTGTGCCGATATCCATGAAGAAAAGCAACGGCAGCACGGTTGAAGATACAGACAACAGACGGTCCGCCATAGTTTTTTTTTTGTTTCCTTACATGCATGGATGGGTGGTAAAGCATCGCAAGCGTGTTGCTGCCTTACTTACCTTTAGTGTGCTGCGTAGTCGTAATTTGAGCGATAAGGGGTAGACGGCAGGACAATCTTATTTGCGTAGTGAGGTTTGACAACTGGTCGTTCGTGGAACGGTGCGCGTCTATCGCGACGGCAAGCGTATTGAGAAAATAGTTCGTCCGTGGTGCTTCTCGTCATCATTTTCTATTTCGTTGTGACTTCATACTTCATACCACAAGTGATGAAAGAGAGTCTCCACAGTTAGTTCGGAAACGGCGACTATATTTGGTTAGTTGCGTTTGTTGTTGCTGAGCACACATCGGATGTCGCCGTTCGTTACAGCCTGCGGTGGGCCACAGGGACGAGAGTGAGTGTCTTCGGTTAGGGTTAGGGTTAGGGTTAGGGTTAGGGTTGGGGTCTCGAGAGTTAATTAATGCCTTCTCTACGCTTTCTTCTGTTGGTCTACGTAGTAGTAGCACCTGTCTCTCTCTCGCCTATTATCGCCGTTGGGGTCCCAACAACATCGAACGTCAACCGCAATCGTTTTTCTTCTTGCTGAGTAATAAGAGGCTATTTGTGTAGTACGTACCCGGCTGCTGTATGTGAGGCTATGGGCGCTGCCTCTTTACTTGAAGCAACGGGGGCATGGCCCCTATACTGTTTGCTGCATGCTATGCTATGTGACAGCTTCCAGCGGTTCAGAGCGGCGACGGTGGTTTTCGTATGCTCTCTTTTGCCACCTCCCTGAAGCCTGTCGCGTCTGGCTAACTTGTCTTTGTCGTCCCTTCTTTTTTTTCTTTTTTTTCTTTAACATAGTCTATATTAAATTTTTCAGCTTTCTTTTTGGGGTCCGCCGGTCATCCGCCCACCACCCATTAGTTCAGTTTTAAATGTTGTTGTTGTTGTTGTCTTCGCATTAAAAACCGTTCCGATCTCTCTCTACCCAGTACCTTCATATGTCCGTACTGATCCAACACTTGATGCGGTCGATTCCTGTGGTCACAGGCTATCTTACCCTAAAGAGGTACGCTAAAACAAACTGGCCCCGAAAGGTCCGCAAGTCAATAAAAATCAACGACAGATATTCTTTGGAACGGGGTGTTGACTTGCCATGTCTATGACTCTGCAAGTTTCACAATTAATTTTGAAGCTTTTCTGAAGCTAGTTGAAACAGTAGTGTCATCGTTCGATATCCGTTCGGTGAGGAATCAATCGCAAATCATGACCCGTCCCCGAGTTTGAGCAGCTTCCGCCTCCTGGGGCCGGCACGAGTCGGCCTTCACTGCTGTACCTTGTCTGTTTCGCCATGGGAATGGCCGGTTCAAAGCGAAAGAGGGTCCTGCGTGCTGCGCGCCACCACCTTTTTTTTTTTGCGTTTGTTTGTTGTTGTGATTTTCTTCCTGAGTGACCGTTGTTGTACACAACATGCGGCTGCTGCTGTACACATACTTGCGGTTGCTGCAGTATATGCTCGGAATGAATGAATGTGCTGAAAAGAAAGGTCGTAAGGTTATCGTCTCTGTTGTTTTGGGCTGCACGCGTTGCTCGCGTAGGCGATGCGCGTCTCCTACTTTTTTCCAGTGTCGTTGTCGGCAGCACAGTCAGTTGAAGAGACAAACAACAACAGACGGTCCGCCTTGTTTTGTTTTGCTGCATGCATGGGTGGTATGCATTGGCACGCGTGTTGCTTCCTTGCCTTGAGTCTGCTGCGTAGTCGTAATTTGAGCGATAAGTAAGGTAGATGGCAGCACAATCTTAGATACTACGTAGTGAGGTATGATAACCAACAGCTCGTTCGTGCAGCGTTGCGCATCTATGGCGGACGGCAAGCGTATTGCGATAATAGTTCGTCCGTGGTGCTATGTAGTCGTGCTCTTTTTAGTTCTCACTTCCTACAACAAGATAGTCCACAGCTCGCACACGGCGACTGACTATATTTGTTTGTTCTTATGCTTGTTTGCTGTTGCTGAGCCGACATCGGATATCGCCGTTCGATACACAACGTGACATCATGTCTGACAGCCTGCGGCGGGCCAGAGGGACGAGAGTGAGTGTCTTCTCGAGAGGGTGAATGCCTTCTCTTCTCGAGAGAGTCAATGCCTTGTCTTCTCTCCGCTCTCTTATTTTTGTCTACCCCTCTTTCTCTCTCTCTCGCCTTTCGCCGGTAGGGTCCCAACAACATCGAACGTCAACCAACCGCAGTCGTTTCGCTTTTTGCTGAGTAAGAGGCTACCCGTGCATCCGGCTGCTGCATGTGAAGCGATGGGCGTTATGCCAAGCAATGGACTTGGGCCCTACCTAATATTTGCTCCATATGTAGTGCTATGTGAGAGTTTCCAGCGGTCCGGAGCGAGCGGCGACGGTGCATTTCTTCTATGCGCTCTTTTGCCTCCTCCCTGAAGCCTGTCGCGTCTGGCTCGTTTGTTCTCGCTTCTTTCTTTCTTTTGTTTTTCATGCTTTGTTTTTTGGGGTCCCCCGGTTCCTGTGTGCTCATCGGGCGTCTTCTTGGTGTCTACCTTGAACTTGATTGTTACCCGCTGCAAAAATCGAAAGCTTCAGACAGGCAACGCGACGATACTCGTCGAGATGCCATACACAATGAATTCATTGCTAATCTGTCTCAGACTCTTTTCTATGATGGAGATGGATTCGTTGTGTCATATTAAGAAGAATAAACATAAAAAAACATCCTGTCGTTACTCTATCGATACCTCACACCCACCCCTACTCACGCCGACGCAGACACAGACAGGCAGACTCAGCTCCTTCGCCTGTGCTGCATCTGTTGTTCGTGCGTGCTGAAAAATGGTACTACAGCAGCAGCTTACGGCAGCAGGAGCTGCTTTTTGCTTGTTTGTACAGCTTTTCCTGCAGGGATGGCTCTTGTTGTGCGGCAAGTTGCATTGTTTGTTGTTGATGCGGACGAGAGGACGAGAGTGGTAGGCAAAAGCAGTACGTACCGTGTTAAAGGGACAGACAGAGTGCCTACCGTGTGTACAAGGGACAGACGTTGCATTTCGTGTTTCCCGAGGATCGGATGTATGTGTTGTTTTTTTATTGCGTACCCGCGTCCATCACGACCATTATTGCGTAGTGTGTCGGCTAATTAAGGTCCTTCCCGTTCGTGGTGTCAGCACACGCGCAACACGCGACTAAAATAAAAATATAAAGCTTGGGACTAGCAACGCCGACGATATTCGTCGGCTTGCTTTCAACAATGAAACACACCAACCGGTTTTCCATGCACTCCTTCCCTGGGGACGCGTTTTATATGCGCGAAACTCCCCCGGGGACACGTTATTTTCGCGCAGAAAAATGTCCCCGGGGATATCTTTACGGTAGGGGGAAAATCTTCAAAAAAAAAAAAATGTTCCCGGGATAATTCAGTGTTTTTGTGCCCATTTCGGCCAAATCGGGGGGACAATTCAGAGGATATTAGGGTACCTTAGCGGTTAGACCATTGACCAAGCGTCCTCGAGAGGACGGAGCATAGTTCCCACCGGACCGATTACCGACGGTCAATTGCTTCTTCCTACTTTCCAAAGGTAACTCGAATTTTTTCCCTAGCCCATCTATCCTATCGATATCACTTCCCGCGAGTTCAACCCACTTCCTCTGCCCCAGAATAACTACCGGGGTGGTACAGGGACGGTAGGGAGGATACAAGAAGGGAGTGAGGCGCAGCCAGGGCGCAAATAAGCTGAGCTGAAAGATCTCCACCCACGAAAAGCCTGTCTCAGAAGCGTAGGCCCGGCAGATCAAATCGGGTTGTCATAGCAGCAACGTATCGCAATGCGCTCACCCAATCCAACCCCTCCGAAAACAGAACGAAAAAAAGGGGGGGGAAAGGCTCCAAAGAGAGAGCGCCAAAAAACAAAATACTGCGACAAACGAACTGATATTGTTCAATATGTTTCACCTGCTTTTCTATCTTCTCCTGATAAGTGCGCTGCTTGGTGATTTGACTCTCATGAAACACAACCGCTACTCAACAACAAAACAACAACAACAACAACAACAACAACAACAATCTCACAGAAACCAACTCACCCAGACCATTCGGGGAACACGCCCTTCTGCATCCCCCCCGAGCTCCTCCTCCCGAAACCCCCTCCGCCCGACATCCCCCGCCCCCCTACCCCCTCCGCCAAGGCAGAAGAAGAGGACGTTTCCGCAGGCAGCATGCTCGCGATCTCTGCGTGGCTCCCCGAATCCCTCCCTGCGGCGCCTTCCACGAGAAGCTTCGGGTGGTTGCACAACTGCCCAATCAGAACAAACACCGGGAAACGGGTGTTCGTTGGTGCGCCGGACACGGTCTCACGCCGGGTAGGGATGGCAACGACACAGACGACGACGACAACATCAGCAACGATGACAACAACAGCAACAACAACATAAGCACAGCAGCAGCAGCAGCAGCAACGATAACCACCACCAAAAAAACAATCGACGCGCTTCTTCCGCGCACGAGCGTTGTACCAAGAGCACACAACACCGTAAATTACCACCCACAACCAAGAAGAACGCGGTCGTACGTTTTCGCAGAAGCAAGCGAGAGGAAAGTGCCTAACACTACTCCACAAACCTTCTGCATGGCGCCGATGCTGGACAGGATGTTGGTCTGCTTGCCGTTGAGGATGTGCCTGATCTCCTTGGAGGACAGGAGGTGCTTGTAGATCTTCGTCTGGACCGGGGTCAGCCGGCAGCACACCACCTGCAAAAAAAAAAAAAACGCTGTTGGTCTTGCCACTGTTGATTGTGGCTTTGGCTGCACGCATCTTCGGGGGGAACCGTTGACCACAACCTCCTTTCATGGTCTAGAAGCCCGCGATACCGCTTGTCGATAAACAAGAACCGTTCCGGCTGTCAATGTTGTTGCCTATCTGTGGAACGGGCCGGAAGGCCCCCGCGTGACGACGATTACCGAGTCCTTCACGCAGTACTGCATCAGACAAACAACCCGGTTCAAAAACTGGGATTCCCGCAAAGCTATATATACTGAGTCCTGCAAATCACCCGTTTCACACGCTCTGTGGCCAACGACAGGAACAACCCGGTTCCGAACTGCGACTACCGCAGAGCACACCGGAATACACCGAGTCCTCCAAATCATTCGCATCACACGCCCAGAGACGATCGGCCGGAACAACCCGGTTCCGAACTGGGATTCCCACACAGCGCAACGGTGCATTTTTCGTAGTTTTGCCCAGACCTGGACGAGCTTGGGCGGGAGGTGTTTGGCGTTGATGTTGTTCGTGCGCCTGAGGATGAACTCGTTGACTACCGTGGACATCTCGTTCTGGCACTTCTGCGCCCGCTCCACCTGGTGTTGGGATCAAAGTTTCACGGGAGCGGAAATGTTGGGATCAAAGTTCGTGGGAGTGGAATGCGATACACAAGATGACGCACCCATCCAACACATGACGCCACAAACTGACACACCAATCTAGCACTGACACCGCAAGGTAACACATCCATCCAACACATGACACCACAAGATGACAAAACCAATCTAACGTATCACACCACAAACGCACACAACACCCCACCCGGTGGTAATATATTTCGAGGGTCACCACTCACCCCAAGACATAAATACTCTCAGATCAGGCAATAGGGTGTGACAGGGAGCATCGTCAGACCAAGAATCGATTCGAAAGCGACGCAAACAATGCCTCCCGACGCGCTGCTTGGCGTACTTGGGAGCACTGAATCATGTCAGCGTCGAAGGCTTGCAACACAAAGTCGTGGCCAAATAAAATATGTACCAGGTCTAGTTGCAGGACTCGAACACACAGATATGTTCACCTGAACCACACCTGAAGCACTGAACAACACTCACTGCAAGTGAAATCTCTAGACTCCGCGCAATGGCTCAACATATCTAATGAAAACCGTTCCTCCAGTAGCAGGCGCATCAGCAGCACACAGAGGGATGTGTCATTCTTCTACAGGCAGCGCCCTCACACAAGAAAAGTGGGCAGTTTATGACTTCATGCTCAACATTTCATCAATCAAACACAAGGAACTTGAGCAATTTTTTGTGAGCCCCGGTGACGAACCCCTTACACTAAACCTGTATAGTGGCAATTCCTACACTGAAACCCATATAGTGGCAATCCATACACTAAAACCTATATAGTGGCAATTCCAACGCTAAAACTCATATTGTGGCAATCCCTACACTAAACAAAACCTATACATTAGCAATTCGCAGCACAACCCTAGGAAGTACGAAAAACCTCAGCCTCGCCCAAAACTAGAGGTCCCCAAGTGCGGGCGTCATGTCTGAAGTGCGGGCGTCATATCTTAAGTGCGGGCGTCATATCTTAAGTGCGGGCGTTGTCTGTATTTCGGAACGGTATGTATGTGGGCCGTGCCACTTCTGTTGATTCACCTGCTTGTCGGTGGCGGACGGCTCTCGCCCGGCCAGGATGGGCGACAGGAATTTCTTTCGGAACGACGAGCCGCTGCCGAGCACCTTCCAGGAAAAGCAAAAAAAAAGAAAAGGACACGTGAGCACAACACAGGAGAAGCATCAACAGCAACAGCGCACTCCATGATTGGGCCGCCATTTTCACTGTACTTTCTGCCGTGGTCATTCTTTTTATGGGGAAGCTACCTGAGTGAATCAAGGAATCATTCTAGAAACATTATCGTCCAAGGATGAAAGGGTTGGGGAGTGGGGAGGAGGCGGGGGGACAAGCGTAGAGCCTCCCTCTCTGACAATGTTGTAGTGTTGGAACAAGGGTAGAACGAACCTCCCTCTTTGACCATGTTGTAATGTTGGAACAAGCGTAGAGACTCCCTGTTTGACAATGTCATAACGTTGGAACAAGCGTAGAGCCTCCCTCTCTGACAATGTTGTAGTGTTGAAACAAGCGTAGAGCCTGCCTCTTTGACAATCTCGAAGTTTTCTAAAACAGCCAACGCCGTCTTTTCTCATCATCAACAACAACAAAAACAACAACAACAACAACAACAAACCGAAACAGCGTCAAAGGAACCGTCCACCGCCTGCCACCGCCGGCATCCTCTTTCGTCCCCTACCCCGCCCCCCCCCTGCTTTGTTTCCCTCCCTTACCCCGGGGTTGGTGAAGTCCGTCATGGCGTAGAACTCCTCTAGGTCGTTCTGCATCGGGGTCCCCGACAGCAGCACCCTCTTCCGGCACTTGAGGGCCGATAACGCCTGCAAAGTTCGGTTGCAACCCCGGCCAAGCGAAACGGCAATTTCAAGTCATGAAAAAACACAACAAAAAAAAAAAGACGAAAGAGCGGGCCGGAGAGAATCTCGACCACGTCCGCTGCCGGTGCCGCGCGTGCTGTCGCCATTCCCAGCGACGGAAATGTGCTCGACCAACGTTGCTAGCACGCATCACCATCGCAACCACTTCTGTAGGAGAAACAGAGCATAAAAAGAAAAGCATTGATTGTTTGGGGGAAACACCGTCGAACTTGTATTTAGCTTCGGTTGCACGGAACAACAGATTCTACTTGCGCCTCCGATCACAATCGGACCCGCGGCTTCGATGGCATCGGGCAACCATGATCACCATCGCCCCAACACATCACCTGATTGGTGGCGGTCTCAGCGTTCTTCAGCCGGTGAGCCTCGTCGCAGATGAGCAGGTCGCAGCAGGTGTCCGCCTTGGCGTAGAACCGCTTCGAGTGAAGCCTGAACGTCTGTTCAGCGAAAAAAGAAGGGGAGGAAGATCGGGAGTTAGTCTCCATCTTGTTTTCGAAGTACGGCAGAGAAGGGTAGTAATGCGGACATTTATTCTACCTTCCTTCGAAGTGCGGTAGGGTAGTAGAAGTAATTCAGTGACACGATGGAGGTCCACTGAAATACCCAATCGCATGTGTGCACCTTGGAATAGAACCGCTTCCCTTGGTGTGAAGCCTGAGTGTCTGTTTTCGTGCCAAAAAAAAAAGGGACTAAGTTTGTGAACCTTGTTCCATTTGGTCTTCGAAGTGCGGCAGGTTGGGGTATCAATTTGGTGCCTTCACGGAAGTCAGCTAAAATACCCAGTTCATGAATCCGACTCGGCATAGGACCGTTTCGAATGAAGCCTGATCGTCTGTTTCGGGGAAAAAGAAACGGACGAAGATCGTGAACTTTGTTCCATCTTTTCTTCGAAGTACGGTACGGTAGGGTAGTCCGATCAAACACTGTGAATGTTTCGCTATGGGTACAGAGATAGAAACTCGGCGCCACAATGGGTTCCACGAAGGTAGGCGGTAGCACGCGTACTTGGCGTAGAAACTCCCAGAGTGCAGTCAGAATGTCCGAAGGCCCGGATGTGAACGGAGGAAGTTGTCAAGATCACCTTCGGTGAAGAATGAATGTCGATCGATGCAGTGAGATATTTCAATCTTGACTGCCATGAGTACGTATCGAATTAAATAGCGCAGCCGCATGTCGTATGACCCAGCAATTTATGGTTTCGCTGAGAAACATCCCAAAAAGAAAATCACAAGAGTGCGGTCGGTGCCGGGCTGCCCACAATATCCTGGGAATAACCAATCACACCCTTTGCAAATGCAAGCTTCCGCGAAACGCCGTACGGGATCACTGTACGGTGTGAAATTTGACAGGACGGTCGTATCTCTTCAGGGCACGATGAGCAGCACCACTGGACGGCGCCAGAAGTTTTCCGCGGCGAAATAAACGCTGAAGGATTGCGTGTGATATCAACTTCTAGAATATCTCCAAGAGGAATAAGTTCGCGGCAAACAACAGCCTTTGATGGTATCGGGTGGTACGCCAAGCAACCCGCACGTATATTTTCTGGTATGTATGACACATATATCGATGTTTAAGGGGACAGCTTCGCTTCGCCCACCTCGTAGGACACGATGAGCACCCTGTACACCATGCTCGCCAGGAAGAGGTTGATGCTCTGCACCACCTGCTCCCTCGTCGTCTCGCTGAGGGCGATCACGCGGCAGTCCCCCTGGACGGTAGGGGAAGGATCACAAGAACGCGAGCGAGCGAGAATCGCGTCTGATTCAGATAGGTCGGTGGAGCTTCGAACAACACGTACAAGTACACGCAACCGCACGCCCCGTTGGCACTTCCGGGACTTTTCTCAACTGCCGTTCAGCTACGGAAATAACCAAGTACATACAACCGCATCTCTCGTTCCAGATTCATACACCTTGAGCCCCGCGTCCCTCAACCGCCGTTCAGCTACGGAAATAACCAAGCACAAACAACCGCACAAAGCCCTTCTTGTCCTCCCGGTTCCCGATCCTTCCCTATCCACACACCTTGATCGCCACGCCACTCAACCGCCCTTCAGCTACGGAAACCACCAAGCACACAACAACCGCACCACGCTACTCTCCTGGTCCCGGAACGTTCCATGCCCACACATCGAGCCACGCCTCTCCAACCGCCCCTTCAGCTACGGAAAACCACCAACCACACACAACGGCGGTACGACGCCTCTCTCTCATCAGCACCCCGTGAGCACCAACACGCCTCTCGACCGCCGTACAGCTACGGAAAACCACCAAGCGCACACAACAACCCGCACCACGCCCATCTCCCGGTTCCGGAACGCTCCGCATCGCCACACACACACACACCTTGAGCCACTTGTCGATCTCCGCCTCCCAGTTCTTGACCAGGCTGGTGGGGCAAACGACGACGGCTCTCCTCACGGCCGGCTGGCCCTTGGCCTTGCCCTGCTTGAGCAGCGTCCACAGCACCGCGATGCTCTGGAGAGTTTTCCCGAGGCCCATGTCGTCGGCCAGGATGCACCCGCTGCCCTCAAACTCCCGCATGCCCATCACTGCGGTGCATTGTCAAGAGACATTTTTGAAGGGGTGGGGGGTCTGACGTTTTGGAGCTGGTGTTGTGAACAGAGCAAGAAGGTTGAACTGAAAAACATTGCCCACATAACAACGACAACAACATCGACGACAACGACGACAACGACATCAACAACAAGCAACAAGCAACAAGCGACACGCAACGGACGCCTCCCTCCGAAACCCAAGCCATCCTCTCACCACACTCGAACATGAACTGCACCCCTTCCCTCTGGTGGGGCCGAAGAAACTTGCACAGCCGCGGGTCGACGCTGATGCGATGGTCGTCCTCCCCGGGCCCCTCCTCCCACAGCACCAGGGGCTCGAACGTGTCCGCCTGGGGGTGTCAAGTTTTGGCATTGAAGAAGCGTGCCGGTACAAGAAGGTGGCGAGAGGGACGGTCGATGCAAAATCATACAATATTCCCCGGTTGTCCTGGAGGAGAGTACAAATGCGGCCCCCAAGTATTTATGCCTATCAGGGGCCGGTAGGGGTGTCAAGTTCGGCATTTGAGCGCTCCGATTCAACGCGGTGTCGAGGGGCCGGGCGATGCAGCAAAAATGAAACGGGGCTGAATGTGGGTTGGCCGTACAGATGCGCCCGCAATAGTCAGCGCCGGGAGATAAGGCCCGCGTGCAGCTGATGGAGGCCGCCCGTGGTATCATAGGGTAGCAGCAGCGGTTCGCCAGATTCGAGGCTTTTCGGAGGAGGAGGAGGAGGAGGGGGAGGAGGAGACACAGGGTCCCGCGAGTGGAGTCGAACGGTCTTCGAGAGGGCCCGGCCACGTCTACGGGAAATATTGTGCTGCGGACCGGAACGTGTGCTTGTTGGTTGTTGGGTGTGCCGGTCAGGTGCGAAACGCAACCGATCTAAGCTTTGGGGCTAAACAGCATACTGGAGCTTCGGAGATGTTTAAACATCACCAACAAGAGATGCTCTCAAGGTTGTCTTGGAATAGTATTCTTCGCGGGAGTGAGACAGCTGTTTCCCCAGTGGGCAATTCAGGGATTGCAACCTGGCAAATGCCGTCGTTGAAAGACAGCGGGTACCCCGAGACCTTTTGAGAAGAAGTAGGGTTTGAAGTAGAAAAACGGAGGGAACCCTCAACCAGGAAACTACAGGACTTTCAAACAAGAGGAACCGCAGCAAAGATACACGGCCACAGGCTTCGACCCCGCGATCTCAAAAACCTACTCTGCGACAGACCCACGACAGGAAGCAGCGGCAGCGCGTGCCGACGTCGCTACAGCCACGAGGCCCGTGCACAAAGCGTACCCCCAATCACTCAAAAGCAGGAGAAACTGTTTTCGATGACCCACCTCATCCGCAGGGGCAGCCTCCGCTTCCGCCCCCTTTCCGTCTCCCTCATCTTCCCCTTCCTGGAGATCGAACTCCCCGCTCACGGCCGCGTCCGGGGGACTCGGCGGACGGAACTTGGAGGAGGTCATGAAGGTCACCGGCCGCCGCACCCCCAGCGACTGGTTTTCCATGTTGGCGCGCGCGCACGGTGCGTGGGCGTGCCGTAGTCATTGGGGTGTTCGCACGTGTAAGTGTCGGGTGTGCCCAATTGTGTAGGACCAAAATATTAAATCTTCCGCACGTGTGGCGGTAACTTCGCGCATATCGGCGTCTCCACACCCCCTTTGCGATAAAAACCTGACAACGAAAACTATAGAACACGACAGCAGTGAGCGAAACCCCGATGACTACGTTACTCCAACCGATGCTTGACTTCGAGGGCGTTTTTACCACTAGAGATAGGACGCATCTCAACGAACCTCTCCCATTTCCAATCAGCCAGTAGCAGACACGGAGACATTTTTTTCCAGCCCCACCACAGGCGGCGACCATCAACACGGCCAACTGCAACCGTCGTTCTCATCCGTTCGTTCTCCGCCTCCCCCGAAAGAGCTTCAACACCAGCATTTATGTTGCGGTCCTCACCACATGGAACCGTGCCGGCGTCAGCACCACCACGGTGATACGGCCACGACAACACAACTGCGATACCAGCTGTACGCCAACAACACTCCAACTCACACCACCCAACACTACGCCAACACTATCGCAACCTCCAACAACGACAGCAACAGCAACAATAAGCGACCACAATGGCAACTACACCATCAGCAGCAATACGTGCAACAACAGCAGTGACACCACCAACGAACGACAACGCCTCCACCACCACCACGACCACGACCACGACCACCACCACCAACAAGACAGACATGCGGCACACCTTCCTTCGGAGGAGGCCCTTGCTCTCGTCCGTGCGCCGCGCGCCCCCCGGCAGCTTGAACGCCCCGACCACCAGCCCGCCCCCCCGCGGCACCGTCAAGCAGCCCAGGAGCGGCGCCCGCACGACGCTCACACTCCCCTGCCGCAGCGCCGCCGTGTTGACCCGCTTCATCTCCTGCGAAAATGCCGCCGACGACTTCCTGCTGCTGCCGCCGCCGCCGCCACCACCGCCTCCGCCGCCGCCGCAGGAGGAGGAGGAAGCACCGCCTTCGATGCCGAAGCCATTGTTGTTGTTGTTGCCGCTGCTCCCTCCTCCGGGCGAGAGAATTCTTGACGGGGCCTTGCTCCTCCGCATCTGCCGCAGAGAGCGTCACACGGGTGCGGTTGGACATACTGTACTAGCATCTCGCGGAGAAGGTCGAAGATAGACGACTACGACGACGACTACAGTAATATATTTTGAAGGAAAGCTGTTGAAGGTCGAGTGTAGCGGGAGCCTCAACGACGACGACAAAGAACTGCCGCACTACTGTTGTACAACAACACGGTGTACTTGAGGTAAGCTCTAGGGTGAGTGCGGCGGGAGGATAAGGTTTTGAGCGCATCGGAGCAGCACCTGGCACCACATGACACATCGTAGAAATGTCCTTCACGCCGCACTCGCGAAAATGTCAATCTCACAGTAGGTGCATATGCTGTCATTGTTGATGTGCAGTCCAAACTGTGTTGATATGTACTCCCCAAAACCAAAAACAATTAATTAAATCAAACACCCCATATATATTTATATACCATGGAACACAGCCGCCCCACTATTAACGTGAATGGTGCCCGATACATGCGATTTCGCAACCGTGTTCGCGGCATTTCTCAAGATGGCGACCCCGCTTAAACAGAGAGTCCCAAAGAAAGGTGACTAGCAGGCCCTGGGGAGAGGTGCCCAAAGGAAAACTGTGGAACCGTTGTAGTGAATGAAAATGTCCCGGAGCACCCGCGTCTCACAGAGAATGCTGAACCAACGTCTGTTGCCGAGACTGTGTGCAACTGCCGTATTTTTCTTCCACTTCAAAACAGTGTGCACTGACAGCAGTGCGAAGTCCGCGGAGAGAAAACAGAGGAAATAGCTCTCAAAATACCAACCTGCTGTTGACACAAAGTAGCAATAACATGTTGCTCAATCTTCTTGCGCTCACCTGGCAACGGAGTGCAGCGTCCTTTCTCTCCCGGTGCTGCTCGGTCCAGCCAGGTCCAGCAAACCTCGGCAGCGGCAAGCACCAGAGCGGTGGCCGATTTTCAAATCTCGTTCACCGAAAAAAAGTCAACTGTCGCCGAGAACCTTTGCTGCAATCCGGACCAGCCTTGGCCGAAAGCCCAGCGCTGAACCGCAAAGCGACAGAGGCAGAGGGAGAGAGAGTGGTTCGTACAGACTCCTGTCTGACGTCGGCTAGTGCTCACGCTTGTGTTGTGCAGCGAGTATGGCGAGTGAGAGGGGCTACCCACTACCCACCCTCGAGCAGGGAAAGCACACATGCTTACGCCCCCCGCAAAAGCGAGTATTTCACGGGGCCTCTAATCTCGCCGCACCGACACAGTCACTTCACGAGCCAGGCACTCACAAGCTGCTACCATTACCTTGCAGCAGGCATGGCGTCGGTGCTGCTGGGAGACCTCGATGACTTCATCGCTCCAGGGCAGGCATGCATCAATCCACTCTTCACGACCGCTGCCGATTCGGCTCCAGCAACAGCAGCAGCAGCTGAATCGGCGGGCAGCAAGGGCGGAGCTGCGATGGTGCTGGAAATAGAAGACGACAGAGGGCCGCTGGATGCCATGGTGTGTGTGCACGTGTGTACAGTAGGTAGGCGTGTAGGCACTACGATAAAACAAAGCCAGGGACGGAGTGTACGTAGAGTGAAATGTGCTGACCCGGCTCTATCCATTTCTCCAATCCAGTATTATCTGGGGTCTGCTCACACTTCACAATGACTGCTGTAGTCTCTCACCATCTGGCAGTCAACCGATGGTACCTATCGACTAGGCACCCTTGTTGCACATAAGTCTTGCAGTGACTTCCCCGCCAAGATGTGACACACGGGTTCATGGCGTACAACATGGGCCTAGTGCAATCGATGTAGTTCGTTGTAGGATAACAGCAGTAGTGTAGATCATATTTCAAATAGCGCCATCTCCTGTAAACCCAACGCAACAGCAGTGGTTGTTCAACAACCCAGCGAGTAACGCCACGAGACAGCCAACAGCAACACAAAGGTATGTAGATGTAGGACACGCTTTGCACAGACGTGACCCCACCGCTGTGTCTATGCACTTCGCGGAGTGGTCTGCCACTCACGCATCCTCCAGTGCACCAAGCACCGGCGTTGTGACGTCGATTTCTCGATCCTCCATCACCACCGGCAACTTCCAAAAACCAGGTCCTTGAACATGCTGTCTGGGAAATCGTAGATTTACAGGTACTTTCTGACGCTATGAATCCATTGCTAATCTGTCTCAGACTCTTTTCTATGATAGAGATGGTTTCGGTGTGTCATATTAAGAAAAAAAAAAAAAACTTCACACAATGTTTAAAACTATTTTCAACATACCCCCTGACTGGTGTGGTGTTATCTCGAACGTGTATGGATATGTTCTACAAAGAAGAACACGAACACTCCCACGTTGAACACCAGCAGGCGGTGGAAGAAGTGGTCAAGCCGGACCTGATACGGGCCTCCAACACTCAGACCGCCAAGGTCTCCTTGGACGACTGCCTCGCGTGCAGCGGCTGCGTGACCTCGGCGGAAACCGTCCTCATCACCCAGCAGAGCACCGGCAAGCTGAGGGAAGCCGTGGCGTCCGGAAGGCGAGGAAACAGAGAATTTGTGTGTGCCCTTTGTAATCCCAAACATGCTCGGTAGGCGGAGTTTACACCTTTCGGCGTGTACATTATTTTTCGCACCAATCGGGGTTACACAGGAGGAAGCCCGCTTGGGGGCATTCCCTTGGTTGTGCCGTGCTCGAGAGCAGGAAATTACTTCCCTGCGCGTCCCTTCGCGAGTCGTGAGCCCTGGGGAAGGACGGAGAGAGGTCGTGTTGACAAAACTCCTTCACCACGTCGCGTGCACACGGCCGCTGGCCCTGGATTCCCAAGCTCGCCACGACATCGCCCGCATTCCCCTCGGCACACTCGTAGAAGAGTGAAACATAATCGCAAGTGTCAGGGCCACCGCCTGCCCTCGCATTCTCGACAGCCCACCTTCCCTTTTCATTCCATGAACCCCCCTGCCCCTTCCTTCCAGGTACTCCGTTGTCGTGGCGTCGATTACGCCTCAGGCCCGAGCCTCCCTGGCGGAGCGGTTCGGCCTATCCCCCGCCGAGACTCACGCCCGCCTGCTCGCGTTCCTGAGGGAGCGGCACGGCGTCCACCACCTCGTTGACTCTTCTCTAGGGGCCGACTTCTCCCTCCTTGAGGCTGGAGAGGAGTTTGTCCAGCGGTGGCGGAGTATCAATAGTGGGCGGTCAGGTCCCGAGGGAGGTCGGGCTAAACTGGGGGCTGCGGTGGGTGAGGGGGCGCCAGCACGGCCGCCGTTGGCTGCCTGGGTCGCGCCCCCGCCTACAGTTGCGCTTTCGTCGACGCGGAGGTTCAACGTCGAGCTGGGAGAGGAGGAAGACAACAGAATGCAGCAACAGCGGCAGGGGCAAGTTTCCAACTGCGCTAGTGGTGTTGTTTCGGGGAAGAGGGGAAGAGAGGGCGAGGAAGCCGCGCGTAATTCGATGGCGGTGGAAGAGGGGGAGTGTGCGAGACGGCCACGAGGGCCGGGGGAGCTTTTGGTGCTGACGTCGGCCTGCCCCGGGTGGGTGTGCTACGCGGAGAAGACGGCGCCTGAGGCGCTCCCTTTTATGAGCACAGTCAAATCGCCGCAGCAGGTATGACGTGCATGGCGCGAGATTACTGTATGCCACCGTCGGCTGTAGACTCTAGCAAATGGCTGCGTCCACCGCCCACGTATGTTCACTTGCCCATGAAACCCAGCTTCGTTGTCGCGTGTGCTACCTTTGGTAAGACTGGGGTGTTGCCGAGGCCGAGAGAAAAACCTTAGTGTTGGGGGTTGTCGTTACTGCGGCGGTTGTGGGGAGGGGGAGGTGTCAACGTATTTCGTATAAATCGAGTCTATAAAAAGAGAAGTGAAACATCCAGCGGGTGGGGCATCACTTCGCTGCAGGCTCGCCTTAAAAGCGTAGCAAGAAGGAACGATTATATATACCACGTCATGAAGTGCACGCACGTTCCATCCGGGCTCCATACTCTCTCCCCACGGTGCCGCCTCGCAACTTGTGGTGCCAAGAGTGAGGTCTTTCGATAGGCGATGATAGGCGGTGGGCCGACGATATCGCCAGCGCCCAGAAATAAGAGCTAAACCGATTCATCTTTGGACGGTTTTGTGGTGAATCAAGGGTTTCTTGCGGGTCGCAGGCTTCGGTGGAGACTTTTCTGTGAAGGTTCTGCCCTACTGTATGTTTGGCAGCTGTGAGTCGTGGCGCAGTTAAGAATCTCATGCATCAAGTTGCTCTTTGCTAACCCTGTGCCTTGTCGTGCACTTGTGTTCGTCGCAGATGATGGGAGTGCTGGCGAAACGGGTGTTTCCGCGCGCTTGGAACCACCCGCACCCTTCGGTTGCCGCCGCTGCCGCCGTTACGGCAGCAGCAGACGAGGTCTCGCGGGTTCGGGACAGTGCTAGCAACGGCGCGACCCCTGCCGCTTCCACCCTAGCCAACGAGACGCTCGACCAAAGCACGCCACCTCCTGTTCGATCGCGGGGTGTGTTCCACGTGTCGATCGCGCAGTGCTACGACAAGAAGTTGGAAGCCTCCCGCAAGGACTTCCGGCACCCAGACTTGGATGGCGACGCCGAGGTTGACCTTGTCCTCACCACCGCGGAGGTGCTCGAGCTTATCGAGGAAAGCGCTTCCGCAGCCGACGCCACCTTGACTTCTACGAGCCCTGCGAGCCCGGGCCGTGACGCAGCCAGCGATTACTTCCGACGTCATTTCCCCCCCGGGGACCTTGCCGAGCCGCTCGCTCCCGGGTTTCCAGTGGGGCAGGCGGCGGTGAGCGTGGATGGGTTGTCGCTGTTCGGCGGCGTTGACGGGGAAGGGGCGGCCGGCGGGAACTCTGACGGGTACTTGGAGTATGTGTTCCGGCACGCGGCGGTCGAGCTGTTTGGAGTGGATTTGGCGGGTAGACCGCTCGTGTACCGTGAGGGCCGGAACGCCGACTTCAGGGAGACGAGTCTAGAGGTACGGCTGGCGGTAACAAGTAAGGCTTATACAGATTTGTATCATTTTCTTCTTTATTCGATGAGGTTCGCTGGGCTGTTGGAGTCGAAAACACGTCAGCTGTGTGAGCTGTTCAAGCGTGGGAAACATCACTGATGGCAGCTTGCAGCTGATTCACACCGAGCTTTGCTTTCATCTTGCGCCACGCCTTGATGACACCATTACTATGCTCTGATGAGCCCACTCCGGAGCGCGCCTTGTACCTACCTAGGAATCGGACGTCCAAGCGAAGGTTCCAGTCCTCTTGTGGAGCCGGTAGAAGTGCAGCGCAACCTAGAATTTCATCGTCAGACCGAGTGTGTCTTTGTGCTTTCGATATTGCCACCACCCCGTGAACATCGCTGTCTGGCCATGATTGTGCGCCGCGTAAACTGAGGCTGCATTGATTTTCTTGTCATTTTTCTGTCACGTAAACTTGATTCCCATCCGTGGAGTTGTCTCGATTGTTCAATTCCTTCACAAAATAAAATAGAATGGGCGGTTAGTGTACATCCAAACTAGTCTGGCAACACGGAAGAACGCACATCGCAGTACAACCGCCTCTTGGGGGTCATTCGACCACAGCCTATCGCCGTCGGATAGATCTGTCTCTACCCCCCTTTACCGCTAACTATTGCTCCCTGTACTTGATACAACATCGCTTTCGCTCACGTGGGTACCACAATGGCTTGTCCATCGCCGGACTGGATGCAACCGCGCGCCCTCTCGTGCTGAAATATCGCCCGGACGAGTATGTGGCGCTCCACGAAGCATGTTCCAAAGTCACCTCAGCAACCTCTAATCTCCTGATGCTGTGCTAATTTTCGATATCGTGTTCCAAGGTCAATGGGCAAGTGGCCCTGCGCTTCGCGTACGCCTACGGCTTCCGAAATATCCAGTCCATCCTGGCCAAGGCCAGACGTGGGAAGTGCCCCTACCACTTCGTGGAGGTGATGGCGTGCCCATCGGGGTGCGTGAACGGGGGCGGGCAGATCAAGCCCAAGAAAAAGGAGGGACCGCGCGACACTCGACTGAGAGTGGAAAGGGTGAGGGGGTTTCGAACATTCTGTTGTCGGCCGAGTACTGTGGAACTTGCAAGTACGTCAGTTTCGCATCGTTTTGAAGTACTAGGAGATATCGAGCGTAAAGACGCAGCCGGGCTACGTATCGCGACAAAGGAACCAAAACCTGTGACATTGAATGGCTGTATGTCGACGTGGTTTCTATTCGCCTTGCCATGTTGATTTCCGTGCGGCTAGGCGCGTTCGTATCCCATTACACTTCCCCGCTCATCGCGTTGAGAGCTGAGATCCCGGGTGGTACGCGTGTCGCATATCGCTTCCCGACGCCTCCCCCATATATGACCGAGCGGTTTTGATACGAACACGAAGTATTCATCACCCCACCGCCCCGTTCGCATTTTTCCTGGACCAACCCAAGGTGTCGGAAGTCTTGAGGGAGGGACGTGTACCCCGAGGTCCTCGCGACAATCCCGTGGTCCAAGCGGTGTACTCGGAGCTGGTCGGAGGGGGCCCTGGGGAGAGCAGAGCGAGAGAGCTTCTACACACCTCATACCATAACGTCCCGAAGCTGGAGCTCTCCAACCCTCACATGTCGCCCTGGTGACCGTATCGATCGACCGCTTGATCGCTACCGATGGTGTCTTTCGGTTTCTCAGTCTTGCCGCTATGACGTGGTACAAAGTATGTGAGTGTGTGTAACGGCAGCGAGGAATACTTTTTCTAAAGGTTGTGGTACGGTTTTGGTGGTGCGACTAGGAGGGGCGGTTTTTCTCCATCAGCGTCCTTGGATTGTGCCGGCGTGGGTAAACAGGATTTCGGCTACGTGATACGTTGTGGTGCGCATGGTCCACGCGAACAGGCGAGCGGCGACTGGCGAGAGAGAGAGTCCACCACACTCCGCGGGTGGTTGCGCATGGCTCGCGTACGTGACTGGTGTGATGCGTGCGCTTTGTGTGTGTCAAGCTCACGCGTTTTTGTTAACTGATCTAGAAAGCCTCCGTGCCCAGGTGTTTCCATGTTTCGCAAAGACCCCGGGTTTCACCTGCGCGTATAGACAACGCGTGTGTACAGCTAAGCGAGAGGGGGGTAGCGAAGGTACCAACCATAGAGTGGGTAAAAGAGGAGTGCTACTCTATCTGCAACGGTGTGTTGATAACTACGGGAGGGCTCACAAATATGTTTTTCTTCGCCAAATGCTGGCGCCCGTTGCCCCTGGAACAATGTCCAGGGAGTGGTTGTATCAAGATTGGCTGCTGGCTTGGATAAATGATCTGGGACACATATTCGAGAGGGCACCGCGAATCGCCGCCTCCGCCAAGTTGTCGAAAAATGAGCTTAGCATCTGCCTTGCTTAGCAATACTTACACGCTTAGCACATTACGCAGCGGCACAACACGGCTGGCTCGAGGAACTCGTTGAAAGCGGGCGTGGCCTCTGTCTCTTGACCATTGTCGTTGCCTCACAGCGTGCATTGCCTACTCCTTCTGCAAAGCCGAGGAATGAACGCTTCTGAGGGCTGGTGCATGCGTCGTGTATGCGATACACGATGCACACCTCAAATTCACGACACCGGGTCGGCCAAATGACCGTACGACGAAACATGCTCTTCTAGGTGGCTATGAAGCCCAGTCTTCTCGACCAATCCAGTTGCACCCCAACATACGCGTGAGTGGGACCTCTCTGTGTAACAGAGGATCGTGTGAAGCAACCACTGACAAGCACGAATCCGCTGCGTCTATCTGTACTGCTCGAAACGCGAAGGCATCCAGGACCTCTTCAAGGATTTTCCGATGATCGTGGACCAAACAGAGCTACCAACTTCATCTGTTCCCATTCGTTGTACGTGCGCGACCTCTTCTACGCTTGTCCTCGGGGTCATCTGTTCTCGCCGGCCAGTCTAGTCGGTTCTACACACGTTCTGGCAAAATCATCAGACAGACGGCGTCCGACATGCGTTCTTCGCACTAGTCTGCCTGTGCTCCACCGACGGCTTTCCGCGTCCAACCCAGGACTATCTTTTCTCCGTAAGCATACGAACCCCCCGCCCTTCGCCCCCCTGGTCCACATAAAACTAGTATCGATTGCGAACAAAACACAACGTCGAAACATTCACCATTCTCAAATTATTATCCCTTGCTTTTTTGACACCCTACCCTGGGTAACGCACACCTTCGTACACCTCTCTTGTCTGGAGGGCGGCCAAAATCGCGTAGACCAATGGATGGTTTACCCGCACGGTTGGTCGCTCAGGACCCCCAAAAGTGATCTTCAGACGAGATTTTCTCAACGCATCTTCGCCCAAGGGCTTGTTGAACGCCTGTCCCATATCCAGCTCTCGAAGAGAGGCCGGCCATGCGACTCCACTGATTACCTGGTTGAAGCAACACCCGAACTCTAGCTCCTGAAGGAACGCCGGCCAACCGACCTCGGCGATGGGCTGGTTGAAGTCGAATCCGAAATGTAGCTTTCGCAGGGACGCCGGCCACAACACTCCTACAATCGGCTGGTTGAATATATGTCCAAAAGATAACTTTTCCAGGAAGGCCGGCCAAACGGCGTCGACGATGGGCTGGTATAACAGGGTTCCAAACGCCAGGTGGTGCAGGGATGCAGGCCACACAACTCCTATTATCGGCTGGTTATAACAGTAGCTGTATTGAAGCTGCCGCAAACTTGCTGGCCACACGACTCCAACAATTGGCTGGTTGCTCCAACAATTGGCTGGTTGAATTCGTACTCGAGCTCTAGATGCTCTAAGGAGGCCGGCCACACGACTCCTACAATCGGCTGGTTGAAGTTAAATCCGAAAGATAGCCTTTGCAGGGAGGCCGGCCACATGACTCCTACAATCGGCTGGCTGAATATATCTCCGAAAGATAGCTTTTGAAGAGAGGTCGGCCACACGACGTCGACAATGGGCTGGTCGAACAGAGTGCCAAACGTCAGGTGGTGCAGGGATGCAGGCCACAGAATTTCTATGATTGGCTGATTGAAACGGTAGCTGAGTTGAAGCTGCCGCAAACACGCTGGCCACACAACTCCAAGAATGGGCTGGTTAAAGTCGTACCCGAACTCTAGATGCTCTAAGGAGGCCGGCCACACAACTCCTACAATCGGCTGGTTAAACACATTTCCGAAAGATAGCCGTTGCAGGGATGCCGGCCACACGACTCCCACAATCGGCTGGTTGAATGTATTTCCCAAAGATAGCTTTTTCAGGGAGGCCGGCCACACGACGTCGACAATGGGCTGGTCGAACAGGCTACCAAACACCAAGTGTTGCAGGGATGCAGGCCACACCACTTTCTATGATCGGCTGGTTAATACAGAAGCTGAGTTGAAGTTGCCGCAAACAGGCTGGCCACACGACTCCAAGAATGGGCTGGTTGAACTCGTACTCGACATCTAGGTGCTCTAAGGAGGCCGGCCACACAACTCCTCTAATCGGCTGGTCGAACAGCTCTCCGAAAGTCAGCTTTTGCAGGGAGGGAGGCCACCTCCACCCAGCAACGGCTTCGTTAAACCGATGGCCAAAAGCCAGAGTTTGCAGGGATACCGGCCACAGCCTCGTTTCCATCTTAGATCCGTCCAAAAAGGTGTCCCATTCCAGGCGCTTGAGCTTTCGAGGCCACACTGCCAGTTCCAGGCATGCTGCAGGCACGTGTGCTCCCGTAGATGAAGAACCTCTGACCATGCCCATAGCTCGCTAGCTGCAAGCTGCAGCAGCATCTCCAAAGGAAGTGCCCATGTCAAGTGAAGAGCACGTACGACCGGCACCCTATTCGAGATGCGAACTTTCGAGCAGCTCGGCGGCGTCCGCGCTTTGCTATGAATAGGAGGCCACAAGAAGTGGGGAGTTCGATAGTCGACATTTACGTGCAACGTCGGAGTACTTTGGCATGCCGTGCAGAAGCCTAGTGATACCATCTGCAGCTCGAGCGTAGAAGCATACCAAAGCTTCTCGTCTCTCTCGGATGCCTGACTCAAGGCGATAATGAAGGCGTCCAGGCACCGGGTTTTGCCTGAGAATAGTCAAAAGCGGCGAATTCGACACAAACGACCGGGTGTGAACTCCAGCGCGGCATCTCGTTGTTCTTCGGGTAATCGCACGCTGGGTGGCATCGGGTGCGGCAATGCAGGCCAAGCAAAGATGGAAAACAAGTAGCTGCCTCAGTATGGCGGGAGACACCAATCGAAGCATCGAAAGTGTTTCAGACCTCCTATCTTGCATGGCGAGGGCAAAACAATCTTTGCAGCAACGATGTTGTCCCTGACATACTCTTTTCAACGGGTTTGGCGGCTTTGCGTGCAGCAAGTCGCGAGATGCGGATGGTACTTTTGTCTTTCGATACACAGATGGAGTGAATTTGCAATGCATCGCCGTATTCTTCCCATCTCCAACGAAAACAAATTCGGAAAGAAATCTAAAGGTTATGCAATGTTTGACGAGTCCGGAAGCAGCCTACCGTGAGCGTATGGTGTGGGTTTTGTCCGGGGAACGTGTGCGAAAGACCCTTCTGAAACCCTGTACGAAAAAGTCTACACACGGGGCGTGTTCGTGGCTTGAAAGAAAGCTTGACGAACTCGGGCATTAACTTTTGTTGAGAAGCACGATGACCACTAGTGACCTTAACAGAACGTATTATCGTACGCACTTGGGTGTGACATTGTGTCGCAAGTACTCTCACATAATGTGCCCATGCCATGCGTTGGTAACGTGAGAAATCATACCCCCTGGGCCGATTGTCGAACCTAGAATTCTCCACAGCAGAAACACTAGCGTTGCCAAAAATGGCGGCGATTGAACCGTCTCGGCAAGAGCTTTCCGACAACGCATCCTTTGGATTATACATCCTCTTCGTCGTGGAGTACTCGAGCTCTGAACGGTCCGCTATGAAGCTCGATTCAGGGGGGGTGGTATCTTATGTCACCCCCAAATTAACACTTGGTATCATACAAGATATAGGTTGCAGACAGACCAACTCCTCTTACCTGCAGAACTCATGTTTATTGGCGTAGGAAGGGATTCCCAAGAAAAAACTGTGCGGTCGAAACGACTCCGTCTTAGCAGGGGACAAGCGGTTGATTGAGATGGGACCTGCGAGAGCGGGCGACAAGAGGGCACGTAGATTTAAATACGTGATGCACACCCCCCGCCCCCCTCTCCCCCCCCCCCATTTTTCAGGTGCTTAAGTGTAATGGAGCAACTAGTGTATGGGCATTGTACGAGCGTTTCATGAGCGTTGTATGAGCGCTTATTGGATATTTTGATTTTTCTTTGGATATGGATATTTGGCGTCGTTGAGGGGTATTGACGTAGCTTGAAGGAAGATCAAAATCCCAGCCCCGCTCCCTCAGTCTCCGAGTGGGCGCTGAGCGGACCTGGTCTAAGAAGGCTAAAACAAGAGATCAAACAACAACTATTATAACTGCTGTGAGTACCCGAAGCCAGGAGCAACGAACTTGCTCTTCCCTCTTTTATTTCTCTGTTCCTCCATAACATTGTTGCGTCGTCTGGCATTTGGACACCGGTCCTTCGCTTCGGTGCTCATCGTTCGAGTGAATGTCTCGCATTTTAGTCCTCTCGATTTTTTTAGTTACCTG